GTGGGTGCGGGGCTGGCGGCCGGGGGGCGGGGGCCTGGCACCCCCTGGCTGGGGTGCTGCCGACTGGGCAGGCGTTGCCTTGAGGGCTTGGAGGTGCGTTAGGGCCCTGCCTTCTTCGGCCGGTGCTCGGGGGTGCTGATCCCCGGGGGGTCCTGAGCCTCCCTTGGCCCTACTCGAAGCAGTTGGATTGCTCAGGCTCCCTTGATGTTTCAGGAGAACGTGGTGTTTTGCTCTGTAGCAGTTGTTTCATTGCTATAGTTAATAAAGTTGTTACCTTCTTTCAGAAGTCTATAACCCTTCTGCATCTCTGTATGAGTGACTAGTGTGTAAGTTGAACAGTGATCATTTCACCCATCTGCTGCCCTACAGTGCTGTAACAGTGTGGGATTGTGCTAGGTGTGAGCTGGGAACAGGAGCCTTTGGCTGGACAAAGCCACTTTAAAATATGTTAAGCACCCAAATTCTCAAAATTGCTGGGAACTGAAGGTATTTTGCATTTTTGAAGTAAATATGTCCGCCTTTCACCTCTGGCTGCTATACCCTGTTAAGAATTGGGTATGTTTAATTTGTAATAAAGTAATATGTGCATGTATCAGCTTGTCGTTCATTTGGGACTATACTATACCAAAGGTTTGTTACAGAAGCATATTCTCAATGGTGTTTTCGTGCAGAAACTCATAGTAATCTAGTTTTCACAGACTTGACGTTTAAGTCTTGTTTTGTGAGTTAATATCAAAAGACTAATTTCTCCTGAGGCCAGAATAGTGTTTCTGGGTCCTTGTATTCTGTTTTTCATTCACTTGTTTTCATGAAGAAAGGTCAAGTGAATCACTTAAATGGGCATACACAGTTGTATAGTCATTAAAGTTATTAATACTTCTTAATGCTTTAAAGCTTCCTGCATATTTTTCTCATAATTGGATTTAATATTAATATAACACTGTCCAAATAACCCTACTGCTTTTTTTAAGTTTTAACTTGAGAAAGAAAATGTAGTTTTCTAAGACAGCTAAATCAGATGGCCCTTGCTGATGACCTGATTGAGTGAAAGCACGCGAGCGCCTGCCTGTCTCGCCTCTGCAGGAACAAGTGCTTTTCACTGGGTGAGAGTGACAGTTTCTCTCCAAGGAGGCCTGTTTGTGCTGAGTACCCTCGTGGTTTTATAGTAAGGATTTATTTCATCTAAATTTGGCTGAGCATCAAATAGGGAAAAGGATTAGGGGACAGATTTGGTGTCTCTTGGGATCCCTTCCAGTTACATCTTTTGTAACACTACAAGTGCCGTTCATTCAGAACTGGGAACCGTATGTGCTGATAGCTGTTGTAGTGCTGCTGAGCTAGAATTAGAGATTGTGGAAAAGCTCCACAGCTGCCAGTTTGAAGGGCTGTCTAGACCTTGCTCTTTTCTCTCTGTCTTTGCCCTACCATTCGTGGCTGAGTAGTTCATCTTATTTTTCACAACAGGGATAATGTGGAATGGTCAGAAGAGCAGGAAGCCAGTGCCAGGAGTAAAGTTCAAGAGAACAGCTCACAGCTATTGCCACAAGATAAACAAGGTACTTTTGGATAGTCTTCTAATGCTAAGTCTTGGCTTGTGCATACAAGAACAGAACAGTCTGGCCAGAGCCTCATATGCATCATCATTTATTCCTCCCTTCCCCCCTCTCCCAAATCATTCAAAATACATTACCGAGTTGATAATGAAAAATGGAGGAGGAGGAATTTTTCTGCTCTTAATTTACCTTTCTGTGACTTTTCAACCTTCTCCAGAGACTCATCCTACTGGAACAGAAATGGTCTTGCTGGGAGGAGTCATCTGGGGTTGAGCTGCTTTTTTCATGTTGTGTATGTTTAAATACTTAGTGTTCCTTGTCAACAGATTCTTTCACTGTAGTGTTATTGCCTCTGCTTGCTTTTGCTCTCTAAAGCTTAAGTTCTAACAGGCAATCTTTTGTTTGTTTGCGTGCTGTGGAGCCATCCTGAATTCAAGCTCCATTTTTCTCTTAAGAAGGTCTAATAGTCTCCGTATCTGTCTCTACCAAGTTAACAAACAGCATGATAATGCTTAAGTCAGAAGCAGGTAAAAATTATTTTGTCCTGACTGAAGTATTTGTCATCAGAGAGGCAGAAAAGGGATTCTGAAGTTTTTATTTCCTCAAACTTGGCTTAAAGGATATTTATACATCCAAAATGTAAAGCTTACCTGAATCTGAATCAAGCTAAAGGTGCACAGCTCTATAGTCAAGTATAATACAGTTGAAGCTGTTCTGAGTTGGTTAGTAGTGCATCTTTCCTCCACACCTGTTAGATGTCATCCAGTCCCTTAAACGATGGTGAAATGGCTTCCTGTTCTCTGGTATGATAAGAGACTTGTTTGATGATGATCTTGTTATACCCTGCCGAGCTCTAGGATGGATCCGCTCCTTTTGTTCAAATTAAATTGAGTGTGTCGTCTGTAAGGCGATGCTCAACTCTACAGGAGCTATTGAGACACTTCCCATATAGCTTCCAGTTGTATTCACAATAGCAAATTTAATTATACCAAAGAGCAACCCTCCTAATTTCTTGGATTCCCAGAAGTATCCAGCAGTTTCTATTGTGATGCCCATTGTGTTGAGTTCTTTTTAAAATCTGGTTAACATTAAAGGACGCTGTCTGTCATGCTTTGAGAACCTATATACAACTATGAAATTGTGGAGCAATTTGCTGTTAGAGCAGTTTGTCAGGTCTTCATGATGTATTTCCCAGACTGAACAATGGAGGCCAGTCAAATTTTGATGGTTGCTATTCAGTGGAAAGCGTGTGGAGACAATGGGATGGCTGAAACGAAGGGAAGCCAGCCCAGCCAAGTGTGCCTGAGGCGTCTAGTATTTTGAGAATCAGTAATGTCCAAGCAGGAGAACAAAGACAGGCTATTGGTCATTATGGCTGTATTATTCTGTGGACTTCTTGGGGCTGTCAGAATTTGTTCTGAAGAAGGAGAGAAGTTCTATGGGGTATGTCGAAGATGTGTCTCCTGGCTGGGAACAAAGAAAGAAGTGGAAGAGTTTCTTGGTTTCCTTCTGAGGCTCCATAATTAGCCCCCATGCAATTCAGGGGGTCCCTGGTTCTCTTCCTGTCTTTGTGAACAGTTACTTTTGTTTTCCCTTCTTCTGCAATGTGAAAGGGTGAGTATGGGCTTGGCTTTGGGGGTGTCCTTACAAAGACGAGCAGAAAAGTCAGGAGTCCTTATCAAGAAAGTCTCTGGAGGAATCTGGCTCGCACGCCGATGTCCCCATGAGCTAATACCACAAAAAGAATCTTGAAGCGAGTAGTATGTGAACTTTTCTGGCATAAGTTGTGCAGGAAGTCAGACTGAAAAATTAATATGGTCATTTTTTTTGCTTTATATCTGTTTCTTGCATGATCTTTGTCATCTGGCCCTTGATTTCTTGCATTTATATTGTTACCGATCCTTTTTTCCAGTGCTTTGGAAACACTTGGTTATGAGGTAAATGAGCTTTAATTAAAGCTTCCACACATGTGGGATAAAGTATAACAGCTGTTCAATAGCATCCAACAGAATTTCGCAATAATTTAACACAGGAAGAGCACAATGTCTTGTTCAGCATTATACTGTGGCAAAAAATGTGGGTAATCCAAAATGGCTGGGCTGGAATTTTGCCCCAGCACCTCATGTAAGTATCCCATTGCAGTCAGGCTGTCATGAGATTGTTAGGGACCAGCAAGAATGAGGACTTTATATTTCTGTTAGGTGAAAGAGCATTTCCAGCCCTAGCAGCCTTGCATATCCCTACTAGTACACAGAAAAAGTGTCAATTCGAGAAGGAGTGTGCCAGGGCATGAATCAATAACACTTCTTCCTCTGACTGTAGCAGTCACTGAGTTCTATGCAAACAGCAAACTGACTTGACCCTGCTTACTTTGAGCTACGGTGAGATCATGGCACAAACTCACTGCTCTAGTCTAATATCAGACATTAAAGTTTCTTTCAGCTTGAAGTTTAAGGACGAGGCTTCTTAAAAGGAGAAAATCCTTGTAGTTGAGGTAAAGATATTATTTTTATATATAGCTCTTTGTGCTTCAGGGATAGAAGCTACTAAAAATATACATATGACCAGCTTATGGTTCTTTGTTAAAGCCATTTTTTGTCTATGTTTGGCTGAGGCTACATATTTTCCTGGGTGTTCTTGATTCATTTTACTATGTCCCTTCAGATATCTTCTAAACATTCATGTGCTTTTCAGAAAGACTGATAAATAAACTGCAGTTCAGATAATAATACTAATCTCCAATTTCAAGATGCCTGCTTTTTCTCCTAACCTTACTGTTACTAGATGTTGGGGAGAGGTTATCCATTCTCACAGACAGTCATCATCTTGAATCGTGGGAGAATCATTTGCATTCAGTTAAGGCACTTGTTGCCGTGCAAAGATGGCTGAGTTGCATGTTACTGAAACACAGTTGGGATCTCTGGCTGTGGATGCTGGTGCCTCTAGGTGATTACAAGAATAGGGTGCTATAATTAGCTCTTATTTCCCAGGACAGAGAACTCACCACATTGGTGAGAATTCAGGAAGCCAGTTGGATTCATAACTTCCCATGGAAAAAATAGTTCCCCTAGAACTGTACTTGATCTGAAATCTCTGAAGGTGTGTAGAAATAATTCTGTGGGTGACTTGAATTTCGTTAGACCAAGGCTGTATGAGTTCTTCCAGCTTTCTGTAATCTTGCTACTGGAATGTATCCACTTGGTGTGAAAATGATAAAGTTTGCTACCAAAGTTAATTTTTATCATCTTTAATCCATCCACCTTAGCTCTTCGCTATTACTTCTGTTGATTCCCCTCTTTTGTTTTAGTTTCAGAAATGTATGATGCTCTAACATGCCCAGAATTATGGAAAACAAAGTGCTGTAGACTGGGCTCTAGCAATACTTCTGTAAAACATGCTGTCCTGTAATGTTGGTGTATTGCGCAAATGCTAACAGAGCTCTCTGCCAGGCCTAAACAGTTGACTAATTTTTCTGTTTCTCCATCTGAAAAAAGGGGTAGCACATTGGGCAGGAGCTCTTCAGCTCCCGGCAGCTGTTATAGAATTCCTTAGAAGTTGTAAGTGCTTGACACTTAGTGTCATGAGGCTCCAAATTAATTGTTCCAGTGAACTGAACAAGTTAGTGTTAGAGATGGAAGTAAAACCTGGATTTCTTCATTCCAGTCTCCTTCAAAAAGGCATTTTCTGTTGCCAGCTTCCTTTAACTCCTCCCAAGAGACAGTTAGTTTCCTCTTCTATCTCTTTTCCCTTTTTTTAGTCCTAATAAAGTGACTGTGAGGAGGCAGCTGAGTGTTTATGTGGTGTGGCACAATTTAAATAAAGGTGATTTTCAGTCAGTAGTCTTACTTACTAAAGTGGATTGCCGAATAGATATCTGCAGTGATCTCTTACTGTCTGAACTGATTGAGACCTGATTCGACTACTGGTGACATTTTTGTTTGTGTTCACAGAGGAATATGAGGTGAATGCTAAGAGATACTGGGATGACTTTTATAAAATCCACGAAAATGGCTTCTTCAAGGACAGGCACTGGCTGTTCACTGAATTTCCTGAGCTGGCACCTAACAGGAACCCAAGTCAAAATGGGGATTCTGTGCATAAATTTGGTAACAAAGAAGAATCCAACAATGAAGGGCTGGGAAGCTGTGAAAATGGACATTGTTCATTGGAAACCAGGGCAGAGAATCAGTTAAACCTGATAAAAATCACACCTGAGATCTGCACAAAGGAGTTGGCTGCACAGAAGTATAGTGAGCTGAATCAAAGCGATGGAGATTACCCAGGATCATCTGCATCTTATCGTATATTAGAGGTAATGGCTGTAAAACAGTGTCACACATCAAACAGTCCCTTGTATCAGTGGTAGTGTGAGTGGGCCATAAAAATACATATCATGGGCAAACAGCAACTGAATGGGATGGTTGCCTTAAGTCAGTAAAATGTCAAAAACAGTGGGCAGCTTAGAACTGAATTAAATCTGTTGGGTTTCTTTTGGTTCAGACTGTGAACTGGCAGATGCCGTTTCTGAGTAAAAGACAAACTATTGCTATCAGATGTTGAAATAAGCATTTCAAAGTAATCTTTTGAAGAAGCTGATTCTTTTACTTGTCTGTATAAAGCTTTGCCTTGTCATTTATGTTTTGCATGTTTGTGCTGACTCTTGTTTGCCTTGGGAGTTGTGAAACAAAACAACGCAACCAAGAATGTAAAGATGCTGTTTGGTTTGTTCCTTATGGCCCGTGTAATAACAGGGAGTCTCAGACTGATACAGGGTTTGTCTCAGAAAAGCCTGTAGAGCTTCTAAATATTAGACTCCTGACAGCTGGTAGTGACCTTTTTCTCTGCCACCTCTAGTTCACTGTAGATATTGCTGGTTTTGTTGAATGCTTCATGTTCTATGGAAGTTCCGCCTCTTCCAGGGAGAGTCAATGTGAACTGTCCTTTTGAGTTTTTTATTTAATCTGAGGCTTTGAAACTTCCTCAGACTTTGATGTTGTTGGGTCATTGTGGCTTTCATGTCTCACCTGAGTACTTTAAGTAATATCTGTTACTGCAAGCTATCAGTGGTGTTTTCTGCTCAGTCTATTTCAATTTTATGGATTCCGTAAACACTGAGAGGCAAATTCCCCAAACCCAGTTGTGTGAACCATCTTCTCTTTAAATGGGAACAAACAGAATTAATAATAAGGCAGAATCGTTGTAGACCTGCTTGTAACTTGAGGAAGAGCCATCTAGTGAAGGAAACTCTGAAACAGCAGGATGAGATTATAGTAAAGCAAACTTCTTTCTCCATTGCTCTGATTTTCTATGGAAGTGAATGCAACTAATCCATGGCCTTTGCCAGTGCTTCAGTGACTCATACTGGTTGTTGTGCTTGGGATTCCAGCAATAACAGTTTTCAAAAGAGTAACAATATATAGCTTGTTAGTAAGATTTCTATGAGAACTGGCTTAGTGGTTTCCCACAGATGCTTATATATAAGCCTGCTTCTCAGAGCCAAACGTTTTCAGATCTTGCAGTAAGATTTGCAGACGATCGCTGCTAGGCTCAGTTGTTACTCATGAGTTGCTCTTTGTTCCATGGCTGTAGAGAGATGATTTGAAATTAGCTGCATGGGACATACTGAAGAAATTATTTTGACTATGTGTACCTCTGCTTTGTTTGTGCAGGTTGGCTGTGGTGCTGGAAATACAGTCTTCCCAATTTTACAAACCAACAAGTAAGTAGTTCTCAGTAGGTTTTTACCTGCATGATATACCAGCCTCTGAAAAACAGCTGGAAAAGTGTTTCATGTGCTCTTAGTTTAGACAATCTCAGAAGAAGGCCAGACACAAATGGTACCTTTGCCATCTGCATCTTCAAATGATTGTGTTTTGAGCCTGGGAATCTTTGCTCTTGTACAATGCAACCAGTGAAACATGATGTGAGTTTACATGTCTCATTCTGAAAGCATTTTCATACAGGCCTTTGTGCCTCTCCTTTTCCAGAAGGAAAAGTAAGTAGTCCGTTCCATCTGAGAATAACTGAGGCGTAAAGGAGCAACATGATCCACCAGATTTTGCACAAGGCATTGACAGACTAAAGACCCAGATTTCTGTGCTCTATGCATTTGAGACACTTCTTAATTCCTGTGGAGCAGCTTTATGTAAATGCTGATAGTTTCTTTTATTTATTTCAGTGACCCAGGCCTTTTTGTTTATTGTTGTGATTTTTCTACAACGGCTGTGGATCTTGTCCAGGTAAACTCAGTGCTGACTTACGAAGGTAGGAAGTACATGGTGCCAATTGTGCATTAACACAAATATCTCACAGCTGCCACCAGCTGCCCAGCTGTGTTGGCACCTTTCTTTTTTAGCTAGCCCCAGTGCTGACCCTTGTACTGGTAAATCCGGTAAAATGAGCCATCAAAGATTGTAGAAATGAGGGAAGTTGGAGTTCTCAGAATGCCACATTGGCAGCAGACAAGTCAGCCAGATTTTCTTTCCCCTGTGGTTGGCAGTACTTTTCTAAATCCAGTGCTCTTTAGCTGAGTAACTGCTGAACCCGAAGACATTCAGGCTGGTTTTTTAACAGGAACTGAAGCTGGTTTTGGTTTGTGTGTGTGTGTGTGTGTGTGTGTGTGTTACTGTCACTGCATTTCTGGGAATGTGGTCTGATTGCTTCTGCACAGACAGCTGAGGAGGGATGCAGTTGTCTGGGGAGAAGGAGGCTGGAATTTAGTCGAAGGACAAATACTGCTGACAGATTTCAGGTCAGAATAGAACTGAGAATATATGGAGTATCAAATGTAATCAGTCACTTCAGGAGATGAGGTGGGGAGCACGGCAGCAGAGGCAGCGTGCCATTTCATCCTCTTAAGGTGACACAAGCACTGTTTGTAGAGGCTACTGCAGTCCATAGCAGCAGCTTTAGTAAAATATACAACTTCTTTTGGAAGTCTAAATGTGATTTTTAAGAGCGTAACTCTAGGCAGCCAGGTTTGATTTTTGGGGTATAGGGAGTAGTTCGCTTGTAGTTGAAATGAATATTGATTTCAGTGATGCGGAGAGAGGCCCTGATGCTCTCACACTGGTAAAGATTTCCTGCCTAACAGTGTAAATCCCTCACTTCTTACCATTATTAGTGGAAAATTGGACTTTAAAATTGCAGTAATCCCTCAGTGCGGTTTTGGGGTTTTGGCAGCGCTGATTGTCTGAATGTAACAAATCCAAAGCTCTTTGTAAATCTCCCATGTGTACTTATTTTTTCCCATTTCAACCCTGTTACTTGTCTGACCAGGGAACCTGTCTGACCCCATCTCCTTAGTCCAGTGAGGCTGTCACAGATCTCTGGACACACCACTTCATGATGTGAAAGTTAAGATGCTCCCGTGTCCAGATAATATTGAGATCGGGGTCTGCTGCTAATGCTCTAATTTCTCTCCTCTTAAATACAGAACAATGCAGAATATGATTCTTCTCGCTGCTTGGCCTTTGTCCATGACCTGTGCAATGACCAAAGTCCTTTCCCAATGCCAGACGAGAGTCTTGACGTTGTTATTCTTATCTTTGTCCTCTCAGCGATTCTCCCAGAGAAGTAAGTTTTAATAATTCCTTCTGGCTGCAGAAGATAATGCGTATAGGGCTGGAGTTCTTTAATAATTGGTCCCCTCATATCAAGGAACATTAAAGTTTGTTCTCTGTCTGGTCCAGGTTTCCATTAAGCCTCTGAAATTGAAATTTGCAGGTACTTTCTGTTGTAACAAATTCTGGCATAGGATAGGTGTGATTTTTGAAGTGCTAAGTGGCTGTAGATGACATGTTGCTGCTGTCACAGTTGCTCACCTGTTCTGAACCCCAGCCCCACTGAGCACTCAGCACCTATTTGTGGAAAATATGCATCTCGATTTTATGGCTGAAAAGCTAGATGAACTTCTCATGTGGAAGGTAGCAAGAAGGGAGGGGACAGGTTCAGAAAACAGTTAAGAAAAGTGCTGTGATCTTAGTGTGACCGTTACAACCTACACTAGTCTGGTTTTTGTTCCCTTTGGTTTTATTTCACAGCATTTTTCTTCAAGTTCACTTACTACTTGTTTTACAGAAACCAGTGGAAATACTGTTGTAATTAGTAAGAGAGAGCAGTTAATCCCTGCTGTGGCAGGCTAAGTTGTTGTAGGAAAAAAAGCAGAATCAGGGAGTGTCAGAAGTAAGGCAGCCAAATAAAATCAACCCACCTAAATCTGAGATAGCTCAGAAAAGTGCTAGCTTTTGGTAGCTCTTTATATGAAGCTGAAACATACGTAAGACTTTATACCTTCATTTTGGAAAGTAGGCTAAGGAAACAAGCATCATTTTGCAGGATGTTGAATATTTCTGTTTTGTTCTTTCCTCAGGATGCAATGCATCGTTAACAGACTGAGTCGCCTTCTGAAACCAGGAGGAATGATTTTGTTACGAGATTATGGCCGTTACGATCTGGCCCAGCTTCGGTTTAAGAAAGGTATTTTCTTTTCCCCTGGGAAGTCTTGCCAGATCACTAGTAGTTGATGCTTCTCTGGAGCAGTGTCTACCCTGTTTAGGAGGCAGCTCATTAATTCCCCTTAAGCACAGCATGTGCTGGGAGAATGCCTCTTGTTGGATGACAGTTGTTGATTTTTAAATGATACCTGGTAACTGTTTAAATCCCTCTTGCCCTTAGGTCAGTGTCTGTCTGATAACTTCTATGTGAGAGGTGATGGCACCAGAGTCTACTTCTTCACACAAGGTAAGAAGCTAGAAATATCCCTCTGACTGTCCTCACCTCTTTTTGTCCCTGTGCCCTCAAGTTTTGCCACTAGCTCTTTCCAGCCTGTCTGTCTTGGAGCAATGTGGAATGTTAAACATCTCCCAGTTGCATGGGGACCTGGGCTTGTCCCTTGTGAATGCAAATATGGCACGGTGAATTCCTTAGTAGAAAATCCTGTTAGAGAAAGACTGGTGTGTGTTTGCTACACTGGGAGGGGCTCTTCTTGAATCTTGTTGCCTGCGGAGGATGGAGTGAGGTGGACACCACTTGAAGGAACTTTACTGTTTTCCTAGGAGGAAATAAGCAGGGCGTGGTTCAGCACAGAGCTGAGGCAGCTGCTCTAGTTCTGCTGCTGCTCGATGTTCAGCGGGGCTCATCCTGTCCCTGCTCATCACCCACTGCACCTCCAGTCACTTCCACCCCCTGCATGGTCAGTTTTAGAGCGGTGGCACAGCTGCAGTGAACTATTCCCTTCCCCACTGCACAAGTCTTGTTTGTCACAACAAAATTAATGTTTAATGCGTGTTTGGCAAACGCTTCAGGATGGCAAGCATCTGATAAACGAGCACAAGCTGGGGCCTGTTAGCCCTTTTCTACAGAAGCTCCCTACAAACCACGTGCTCCCAGGCTGCAGCTGAACGAGCTCGCTGCTGCTCGGCGGGACGGGGTCTGGCTTTGCCCAGGGCCAGTGTGCTGGGGCACTATGATACTTATTTGCTTGGTCTGGAATACCTGCCAGTGTAAGTGTTGCACCCTTGAGGGCTCCGAGTGCTTTGATTGAGCCCCAACAGGGTGTGGTTTTTAAAGGATTTTTCCCCAAACTTAATCGTAATGAATCCCACTCCCCTCCAGCCTGTGCAGCACAGATATTATTGCCACCATTTAAAAGCATAGATCTGATCCTGTTCTTTGCTCTTGCAGAGTCTTGAAATTCCTCTGGAGGGGGGGGGGAAGGAATGGATCTGTCCCTACTTGCCAGAAGATGCTCCCTTAATCGGTTACTAGAGGACATACCCCAGTCTGAAACTGCTGATGTTTTCTCTCTGTCAAGTCTCTGTAATTCTAGTTGTCCTCCAAATAATTATTTCCTTCCTTGGTAGAAGGTAAGCTCAAGGGAAACGAGAGAAACTGTGATTTTAATACCCCACAGTACGGTAGTTAAGTCCTGTCTGATCTTCATGTTTCCCTGTCAGAGCGAGACCATGAGTTTCCTCTGGTCCATCTTTCAACATAATTTAGCCCTTGGTGTGAGCAGATATCAGTTAAATGAAAGCTGTGGCATCCTCAGTCTCCTTCTCTCTGCTTCCAGATGAGTTAGATGATCTCTTCACAACAGCTGGGCTGGAGAAAATCCAGAATCTGGTCGATCGGCGATTGCAAGTGAACCGTGGGAAACAAATGACGATGTATCGAGTCTGGATCCAGTGCAAATACCGCAAACCTGCCAGCCCTCCGCTGTGAGGAGACCAGAAACTGTCTGGGTTGGAGCCTCCTCGCAGCCACGGGCAGTGGCTCCTCCTGGTGAGATGTGGCTTTGTGGAGTTCAGCGCACACAGGACCTCAGTGCCTTTTACAGTGCCTAGCATCACTTCAAGTGAGTTTTGCTAAGGACGAATGCCCTAAGAGGAGACCAAGCGGTATTTTAAATGTCTTGCTACTGGTCTGAATTTTTAAAATTATTTATGGTTTTAACAACTTAAGAAATGGTCATGCTGTCTTACAGCAGCTGAGCAAGTTGAGTAGCGAGTCACTCTTACTCTGGATTTCCACATGAAACAGAAGGAAAGCTTCGACCTTACCACTGTGTTGTGTACTCTTGTCTTGGGAACAAAAAAGCTTACAAAAGGTAAATCTGCTCTTCTCTGCAACTGGTCACTAGGCCTAATACAAATCCCTTCACCAGCTTATCTCATGCATCTCTCTTCTAATAGTTCAGGTTTGTGCAAATCCACAAGTTAAAATACACTGATCGAGGGCAGGAACTGAGAGCATCCTAGTTTCTCTGTGCCAACTTCCCCATGGATGCCTCGTGGTGTGCAGATAACCTGTGGCGAAAGCAGATTATGCTGCCTTGACCTCGCTGTGCACAAGGATGTTCATCTGGGCATCTAGCACGCTGTGGCTCAGGTGCTATCAGTTCATATCAGGTAGGGTTCAGGTTTTCAAAGATTTGGGGCTGATGCCAGTTTTGGGGCACCTCCAGAGTGCAGAGTATCACAAGCAGCTCACATGACCAGGGTTTACACAGAATTGCTTGCTTTTTCTGCTTGAACGGTGAGAGACTGTGCTTGCTGGTTGCAGCCCCCGGGTCACAAACTGCACTGCCCTGTCATGGTGGTGTGCTAAACCTAAGCAGACAAGACACCTGTCTTTGATAAGAAATCTGAGGAATGTCTACCACTCTTGTTTAATTTCTTAGAGGAAGCCAACTTTGTGGCTTTCTGAAGGTATTTCCCCACCTTTGACAGAAAATATCTTTTATCTCAGCTTGTTTTCTTTTGTTATTTTTAGGGTGTGGTACAACAGGTATTAGAATAAATTTTGTGGTAATGCTTTTCAATGCTGGTTTGATTAATATAAACCAGGCTTCCACAGAAACTCACATGCTTCTGTGTGCCTGATCTGAAGCATCTGGGCCACCATTAAGTAACTACAGGTTTTTTCCTCTTCTGTTATAATGAGTCTCATTAGTGCCTGCTCTCATCTCTCAAGAAGGGAAAGCCTTGGCTGATATCTTCTGCCTTTTTATAGTTCATGAAGTAACAAAGTCTATTGTGTGTGCACCACAACAGAGCAGTTCATGCTACACAAGGCATGTATATTTTGTTAGCTAGACACTTGTATTTGTAGCTTGTAGTTGCCCAAGAATAACTGTCAGCTATAGAGACATGTAGGTTATGAAATAACTGCTGTCTTGAAACACAGGAGAAAGGGTAAAAAGATAAGGAAATGTCATTGCTAACTTTGGAGAGTCTGCAGGAGTCCTGGGGAGTCAAACCAGAAGCACCCTGATTTGTAAAGCCTTGGAAGGGGTTGTAGCAAGTCTCTGCTGGGCATATGGCAGCATGATCAGTTTGTAGCTTCCCTGTTGCTGTGTCACCCTGCAGGTAGGAGTGGCTACTACCCGAAGGCTTCCGGGCCAGGACATTTCAGCCCTTCCTGTGGAGAGGTGACCCAGCAAATCCATCCACGCCACAAAGGCAGGCTGTGGTGCTGGGGTGGGAATGGAAATGCACCGTTGCTTTTTTTTTATACATCTAGCTCTTGCATAGTGTTGAAAGGGTGAAAGGGAAGCAGATAACTGGGAAGAGAATTCTTGTTCAGTTTGTTGTACTGTATTTTCTAAAGGGCTAAGAGACATTCCAGCATCTGCAAATGGAATAGGAGGAGATGATGCTTCTTTCTCTCTAAGCACATTTGGCTTCTGCTGGGCACAAGCCTGACCCAACCCAGAAGCTGTGCTGGCGCTGCTGTGTTTTCATGCTAAACCTACAAAGTCTGATTCCCTGGCAAGGTTGGTACCTCAGGCAAGGTCTAGGCAAAACACAGCTCAAGGCATCTGGGAGCTGAGCAAGATTGTGTCTCCTCATCTTATCCAGGCAAAGAGTCAGGCTTAGCAAAAGAAGTCCTGTGAGTGTTCAGCGTGACGTGAGTCATGTAACCAGCTCCGTAGCTTTCAGTGAAAGACCTTCCATGAGTTACTGGTGCCTTAGGCAGTTCCCTGGGGTCCTTCCTTCTTGGTCCCCAGAGGGAGACCTCCTCCTGGGATAGCTTTATCTCCCTGGAAGAAAAATTATTGACTGGGGTAAACAAACAGCATAATTAGTGTGAATTAAAGTAATTTGAAAAATGCCTTATTAATCATCCAAAGGCTTGTAAGCAGCACAGGAAAATATGTTTTTAATTATAAGCATGATTTATTTAAAGTTGATGGACTCCCCTTTAAACTCCTGAATGGGAGAAAATGAAGGCTAGTAATTTATTTGTTTCTACTTTCAAGGCTACATCCCAGTTGCCTGCCTGGTTTTGACTCTGGCTTCATGCAAAAACTTGCAGCCCTGTGAGCCTGCAGTCATTGAAGTGGCTCTTTGCCTTTCTTAATGCTCTCCATTCTGCTGGAGTATTTAAGCAATCACTGAACATGAACCATGCTGGGCAGACATGCTTTTGTTTCCAGTCCTGTTGGTGGTGTTCAGAAAGCAACAAGTTAATGGCCTTGAATTGAGCCAGGCCTCCTACAGACAGATACTGTCTGAGCTTCCTTCATTAATCTCCACCAGCTCCCGTTCCCTCTGAAGCTGCTGCTCTCCTGCGACTCCAGGCCTTGCCTCCCACACAGCTCTGCTCAGGTACCTTGGTCCTGACTTGCAGCAGCTTCTGCCATTCCCACCTTGGGCCTGCTGAGCAGGCTGGGTTGCACAACGGCTTTTGAGCATGTTCAAAGGAAATCTCCAAATTGACTTTTACAATTTTGAAAAACCAGGTTAAGTGCCTTTATTTTTTTGCTCTTTTTTTCTCTTCCTTTTTTAGCACTGTAACATTAGCTTTAAAGCCATTCTGAATGTGTCTGCTCTGGTTTTGTTCCCAGCATTCCAGTCTTGTGGTCTGTGGCTTACAGGCAATGCCAACGTAGCTTGTCGAACCTCCCAAGCAGAAAAGTTGATTTCATAGCTCTTCAGAGGCACTGCCCCTGCAGTTCTGGAGCCAGACATTGTTAAACTTTGGAAAGTCTGGTCCTGGCTCTTGCCAGAGGATGGTGGATTTCCTTGGAGGTTCATAGATTGTTTTGGCTGGAAGGGAACTTTATCATCACCTATTCTGACCCTTTCAATAACCCTTTCATGTAGGGATTATGCCATCAAGCCTGTGACTTGGGCTGAGCCAGAACTAATCCTTCAGAAAGGCTTTCAATCCAGCTGTGATGCTGAGGGCTCCAGAGAATGACAAAGAACCCTTTGCCTCTCCAGGTACATCGTTCATCTCACAGCATCCTGGTTTCACAAATAGCTGGAAACTGGGAGGCAGGAAGGGAACAGGGGGGGGAAAGAGAGAAAGAGACTGGGGAGTATTTTGGATACCATCACTTCAAAAATAAATAAATTGTAAATTCCACTGAAAATTGGAGCTTTTTCAGGATCTTCCTGACAGCATAGGAAAGTGAGAAACAGCAGTCATCTGTAGTGATTTTTGTTGTTACAACAGTAATCATCAAATGCTTCTGACCAGAAGCATGTGAGACCAGACACAATTGTCTTCTCTCCCAAATACTTTGGCTCCACCATTTCTAATTCTGTAGTTAGCTGCAGAGCTCCAGGATGAATGAGACCTGATTATTTTCAATAAAGCAGAGGTGTGAGCAGAAGGAACCTCCATGTATGCATGCCAGCGGCTTTTGGCACTGCATCATAACTAAAGCTGAAAGAGCTTCCTTTTGTTGTTGGCATTGGGATGAGCCCCAGCTGGTCCCCAGTTGGATTCCCTACAGGAATCAGAGACACAAACTGGTTTTCCTGAGCACAAATGTGAGATGCACAGGTTTGAGTGCTTAGAAGTGAGGGCATGGATGAGTCTGAGGCTGCAAGGATCAAGTTATTAAGGGATTTGGGGAGCATCCTTCCATCTCTGTAGAGACAGATGGAGGGAAACCAAGTCACGCAGTCTTCTTTGTTCTCCTGATAAGTCAGTTGGATCTGATTTGTCAATCAGAGCTGTGCCACCACTTTTGGTTTGGTGCCATCTTGGGGAAAATTAGTCCAGAAGAGAAGACACATGATCAGGATCACTTTTGCTTTTGTAGCTATTCATCTGCCTTGACAGGGGTGTGTGCTTGGCAGACATAATTTTGTACAACGTCCATAGAATTCAGATTCTAACAGTGTTGTCTTATATTTTTTCAGGGCAAGATAGAAATTACTAGAAAAGCGAGCAGGAGGGATGAATTTTTTGGAGGACTCTCCTGCAAAGTGAGGTGCTCTAGAGGGAAAGGAACTGCCAGCTCTGTGCTTAATCAGCAAAGCTCTGAAGTTTGTGCTTAGCTCTTGCTGAAGGCAGTAAGTTCCTGTGCACAAGTGCCTTGCTGAATGGGAGCTTGTATTGCTGAGAAAGTGGGACACAGTGCAGGCAATTACCTGTGTAGGCAACAGCAATCTGGACTAAATAGCATACAGCTACCTCTCTTATGGAGAGAACAAGCTAGACCTGGCAGCGTGGCTGGAACACAGGCAGGGAGAAGCAAGATCATCTTAGCTATGTGTGCCTCTGTCCAAAGGCTGTGTGGTATGGCAGGAGCTGTCATGCCAGTGAAGGCTTCTACTCTTGAAAATAACCGTCTTTGACCCAGGGTTGGATGAGTGGGAGCTGGCTGTGGTTGGAAAGCATTGATGGCAAAGATCACTAGCAGGTCTAACGTGTCAGCACCTGCCTGGAGCTCCCAGCCTGTTGGTCCATGGCTGTCTCCAGGAAGGAAGAACATCCTGGTGAGGTTTGGGCCCTGCTGCTCTAAACTGTGCTCCCTGGTATTGACTAACCCCAAACAGCCTTCACTGCAAGTGTCAATGCAACGTGTGAACAGCAACTTGATTTGGGGGTGGAGTGTGACTGTGACTGCTGTATCCAGGTGGTTTTAATGTCCAAAGGACCCATGGAGCTCTTGCATTTTCATGTTATTTGGGGCTTGGGCAGTGCTGGGGGACTGTGGATGATCCTTTGGCCTATGAAACTTACTTTCAGCTCATGTGAAGCGGGAAGTTGCTGTTTCCAGTCCCAGGGGCCAGGCTCACACCTCGGTGGTGTGCATGGGGGATCTGCTCTACAGCTGTAAGGGGAGAGGTACCCTGACACCCTTCTCCAGGGGCACTGGATGTGGCCTCCCTCTTTTAGAGAGAAAATGGGCTGATCTTCCTTCACACTACTTCTTCATCCATGGGACCCCCATCATCTGGGGGGCACCACCTAGGCAGGTACACTGTGCTGCAGCCACACTTCAAATTACACAGCCACACGGTTTTTTCCACATTCACTGCCAAGGGTGGATGTGAAGAGGTCGATCAAGGTTGCATGGAAAACTAAATATGGCTTTTCCTCAACTTCAAGTGACTTCTTCCCTGCTGAGACAAGCCTCATTATGAAGGTTGGTAGGTATTTACAGACGTTCACACAGAGGCTGAATATACTTAGAGAAATATGCATGCAGTTACTCTAGCTTTACAATAGGATGTTGATTTAATTTTCCTCTTACACAAATCTCAAGCAGTTTGTTTAATTGAGGCTTTCAAAAGCCCTGTAAGGTAGGGTGTTATTATGCCCGTTTTATGCAGGAGGAAGAGAAGCAGGGGGCAAATCCTGCCGAGAATAATACCCTCTCCTATTCCAGGAGGCTGGTAGTGAGTGAGGACAGGGAAGGACTTGCTGGCGCAAGAAGGAGAATCACATCATTTCAGGTGCGTGCAAAAGAAAAAACAGTAGATTTTGCTGCTACCGTGTGCTTTGGGGAGAGCAGCCGCAGCCACAGGGGTGTTCCTTTCCTGCCTGAGAGTTTTGGTTGCCCTCGGCTGGGCCTGGGGGTTGCCCGCGCGCGGCCGGCTGCCTCCTCCGGTGGGGATCGGGGCACCGTGCCCTCCGAGGCTGCGCATGGCTCTGTGTGTGTGTGGAGGTTGAGGAACCTGGATGCTTTCCGACTGGGTTTGGGTATCAAAGCCTCCCTAATGGGATACCTGAAGGTGTAGACAGAGGGAGGGGTAGGAACAACCTCCGAGATAAACTCCATTGTGTGGGAGGGTGGAGGCTCTCCCAATGGCCTCAGGAAGGAGTCAGGCGATGGCATGTTATCTTTGAGTAGCTGAGATACCAACTTTCTCCCTGTCTAATGGAAATGAGGAAAGACCCTTTTAACATTCCTAGGGAGGGAAAGGGTTCCTAAGGAGGGAAAGGCTGTGCTACGAGCCCTGACCTTACTAGATGCACTAGAATCCACACAAGGGTGAGACGTTTGAATGCCCCAAGTCTAGAAAAATCTTCATTTGCAACTTCTGCCTCGTTAGGGTGCAGCAGAATCTGCTCTGCAGACCAGGGTTGGCCTCTTCTGGATGTGATGCCCAGAGGTGAGATTATCCCTCAGAGCTAAAACCTTAAGAGACCTGCTGAGTGCTGAGCTCTTGTTGGAGAGGGGAGGGATCTCAATGGCTGTAAAATTTTTGTATTTGAGATCACTGATGCCAGCTTTTACGTTTTAAAGGCTCAAGCTGTTTGATGCTTTTCTCCAGTCCCCAGCTCCCAGTGTTGTGCTATCACTGAGCAATCTCAGCTCTCTTCTTTGTGTGTGTGTTACATTATGTCAATACATTTCTAGACCTCATGGCAGTACAGAAATGCTAGGGAAAATGCAGTCAGAGTATTTCACAAGCCTGAAAAGCAGAGGTAAAGGAAAGTCACCAAAAACGCATTAAAAAGATCAGAAGCTTGAGTTCTGATATTTTATCTTTTCAAAATTCAAGACAGGAGGAACTTGTTACATGATATATTAAAACATCTATAAAATCTTACCAAATTTTGGTCAAGTCTAACGTGGGTTAACAGTGTGATGTGAAGGCAGGGGTTTGCCCTGCTTTTGCTAAACATGCTGTGCTGGCTGGAGGGGAGCTCTCGGAGACTGCTCAAGTCAAATTCAGTGACAAAGAAAATGGCTGCAGCAGCTGAGTAGTTCTTCAAAACATGATACAAGCACAACGTGCCAAGGATATTGCTGACATCCAAGGAGACCAATGCACGGAGATGAGAGCTGCCACGGGGGATGTAATAGGAAGCATTAACACTGGCTGATGGCAGACCTGGAGAGCAGGATGCTGTACGGGAGGAATCTGGCAGAGATGATGGTGTAGGAGGGCTGGCTTTGCCCCCGTGAATGAGATAATATTTGGTCAGCCATGTATGTGCTGCGTTGCTCCTAACCATCCCGTCACCAGCTCCCAAACCAGCTCCTCTAAAAGGACCAGAGCTCAGGGGCTCTTACAAAGTTAATGAAAAAGGGGGAAAACAGAATAGTTTTCATGTGTCATTCAAGTGTGGGCTGGAAGGAGGAGTTTTCCTGCATGAGAATTCTTGGAGATGCAAATTTTCTCTTGCTGGGCCAGAAAATCAAATATATTGGAACTGTTCACAAACTGAAATACTATGGAGAGAATGAAGTCGAGATTGACAGAATTTTGGTTTCCTAACCTTAAGCATTCTTTTAGTTCTGATGCTTTATAGGCTTTTAGAAGTAGCATTTTAAAAGTTGCACTAAATTGCATTTAAAATTTTCCTATACAAAATTATTAAATGTTTACATATTCCAGACACTTTGAATTGGAAAACCTTTCCCTGTAAAAGCAGAAAGTGACAAACTGACCTTTTCTTGCCAGAAGCACATTCTGGTAACTTGGCTTTTCGTGTTCAGAAAACAGAATTAAAAAAACCCGAAACATTCCACCACTTCTCTCCTGAGTCTAAACCTGAGGGATTAGCTCCTGCTGGAGATAACACCATAACAAAGAGTCCAACTGTGCTGTGTTTTATCACCGATAAATATATTTTTACCCTAGAGCCCATTGCTTTTCCAGGGAACCCAGTCTGGGACGCACTGACACAGCACAGTAAGAAGTGTCTTGCCAGACTGGGATGGATGGTGCATCCCTGCTCAAAACACTGCCCTGATGGAGTGTAGGAGGGAAAACCTCTGAGATGGCTGATTTACAGGCTCTGTCTGCACTGGGAAATCTATCCACTAACTTTACTTCCTGCTGAGACTGTCTGACGAACTTGTCTGAAATCCCCTTGTACCTACCTGGCACTCTGCTGGTGCCAAGCAGTACCCTTAAAGGCTGCTCCAAAATTTCTGCTTACGCCCAGAAATACAGTTGCAACTTGTTGATTCCTTCCCCCGCTGCACCAAAGAAAGATGAGCTGCCGTGTCCTTCCTGTGTGAGCTGCTATTTTGGCATCTTGGAAAGGAAACTGCAGCTGAAAGTGTTGCTCGGAGCTTGCTCTTTGGATGACGAAGGCGGAGAGAATGGTAGTTGAGTTTTCAGCAGAGGAGTAGGGAAGGATACGACTGTATGGCTAGCCAAGGCTAAGAGGAAAGGGTTTCTGAGCACTGGCAGCTTGCTGAAAATGCAGGAGCAGAGCCCTTGGGCAGCTGTCTTCCCAAAGCTCCCCCAAAACGTACTGAAGGGGGCATGCTTGTAGGGGACGTGCTCCATCCCTGAAAACCCGAGGAGAGAAACCCCAACCATTTTGCCAAGCATAGAGGAACGTGGGGCAAGTCAAGAGGAGGATGGTGCAACAGCTTATCAGGTTCGTTATCAGAAGTCACCACCCACTGCTCCAGCCTGAACCTGGCAAAGCCCAACCGCAGCCACTGGAGAAGCCCGTAACTCAGCGGTGCATCGCGGGATGTCTTTTAGAAAACATCCGTGTCCGCAGTAAATTCTCCAGGAGGCTGATGCCTCCCTGGGCATCTGGTCCTGGCAGAGGAAAGAGGAGCTGGGTCGTTGATCTGTCTGACTTCAGTGAAAACGATAGTGAGCAAAACACCATTAGGCGATGACAGATGACACTGGTCAGAGAGTGGAACAGGCTGCCCAGAGCTTCAGCACCATGACTTTATACAGTTTATGGTGAACAAGTTACTGATTTGGGAGAGCAGTTGTGAATGCCCCCGGATGGATTCACTTTGCCCCCTGTAACTTAGATCTGCAGCGTTTGGAGGAAATGGCAGGGACAAAATGGACAGTTAATAAAAGGAACAATTGTATACTGCCTATTCTAGAGGGCACTTGCTGCCCTTCAAGAACTTTCCTCATCGCATATGCTCTTTATACAGCAAATCTTTCTTCTGTCTCTTTTTTTTTCTTTTTTTTTTTTTTTTCTACCTTAGTCCAGAAAATGAAACTGGAACAGACATTTCTGGAAATGAACTTGATTGGTGCAGTTGGGAAGATGTGATTCACGGTTATAATGAACATTGAAATTTGTCCCATTTTTTTCACAGTTCAGTATTCAAATTGTGTATTTTCTGATTTTTGACCTGTTTACACAACTATGCAGGGGTTTGGGTTTTTTTTAACCCTTCAAATGATGGCATCCGTTGTGTTAGATTGCCAAGAGGTACCCTAGGTACCTCAAATATATTGAAGCAACTGTTACACTAGAGGTATTCGATGCTTTACTTTCTGAAGTAAAAGGTTTAAACGAGCGTCATTTTCTTCTTATAGTCCCTTTCTGTGCTTGGGAGAACCAAAGCTGTTGTCAGTGAAATCTGGAGTTCGGGGAGATCTAGTATTTCCAGGATTGGCCAAAAATAAATTATGGGGTAAAGAATGTTGCTTTTTTTTTTCTAGTAGTCATGCAGCACGGATGAAAAGCTCTGAAGGTTTTAGTCATAACACTCTGGTCCCATGTTTTCCTTTTAATAAAGCATCCAGTGGGAGAATGTGACATAATTGGTTTCTTGGATTTAGAGATCTTGAAATGGCTGGCACAACAGATAGAAGAGGAAACTCTCCAGCAGGGTTGTGGTTTAAATACAGTAATATGGTGGCAAAGTCATGTTATTACTGCATGGTAATCTTGCATTTCTCTTGCAAGAAGATGCTTTCTACATGGTTATGCTGCCAAACAGGCACTATTGAGTCTCGTCAGTGGCACAGAATATTAAAATCTCTCTCCTCTTCTTGCATTGCATAATCTGAGTGTTGTTCTCCCATAGCAGCAGAAATGATGGAAGAATTGCATAGCCTGGACCCACGAAGGCAGGAACTACTGGAGGCCAGGTTCACTGGAGTTGGGGTTGCTAAGGTGAGTACAAGTACCTTTGGTAACAGGCATGACTGCTTATCCATCCTGCACTGTGCTATTTTTTTTTTTAAATTTCTACATTGATAATTTTGCTTTGCTAGCAAAATGTTTTCTATCAGTAGTTGTGTTTTGAGCACTAATTTGCCTGAAGTATGTTTAAGAGGAATGAAAATGGGATCTCTATGAGCAGATGTTTTGCTATACAGAAGATTTTGGGCTCTAATTAAGTTCTTAGGAGTTGCTACATCTTCAGGCAGCTTGTACACCCCAAAAAACCCCATGACAGCTTTGTTGTTGGAAGTGGGAAATCTCATCTGTCTCTTCCTTTTTTTTCCAAGAATGCATTTGAGAACTGAATTTGGCCACTTGTTAGATACAGTTTCAAGTTTAATGTTTTTAATAGCTTGTAACCAGACAATCCATTCAGGAATTTGTTCAGTTCTGTGTGGGTGCAGTGTGCTAAAATGGTGTACTCAGTTGCATAGGACACACAGAAAAAGTTTTTGAAGGTAAGCTCTCCTGTATCTGTGATCCACAACCTGCTAGTAAAATCCCATCTTTGTCCTCACGTACAACTTCCTAACTGTTTGGTAGCTGCCTTTCTTGAGTAAGGCACTTAAATAATAACGTGTGGTTGCTTGATATGCTAGCATTAAGCTCTTAGTTCTCTAGATGTTGTTGGTAGTGTTAATTGATAGTCTCTCTGAGCAGTGAAATGGTGACAGAACTCAAACTAGGTCAGTGAAAAGGAGTTTACTTTTGAGGAGAGGATACTGAGTTTTGGACAACACCAAGGTAGATGGTAAAACAACATATCATTGCTAGGTAATTTTCAGAAACCTGTAATTATTTTGAGAAGAAACGTTGTAGATGCTGCATTTCTTAGAAAAATTCAAAGCAAATCAGAACTTGAAAAAGGATTTTGTTTGAGTTCATACGTTTCTTTCTGATCTGTAAGTCAGTCGGGACTCAAACAAGGTTGACTCTTGGAAGGAAGCATGAGTAAGTAAAATGTTCAACTGTAAGGTAGTGTAATAAGGAAGATTAGAAGTTGTTAAGGGGTAACAATTTCAGTTACTGAAGTAAGAGTGTGGGGTTTTTTTATCTTTTCCTCCACTCAATACTTTTTTTTAATCTTATGACTTTTATTATCATAGTTTAAGGTGCATAATGTATTTATGATCTTGAAAGACTTTGTTTTATACAATGTTATATTTTTATGTACTTTTTCATCTGTTTCTTGCCTCTTCCCTCCATGTATGTCACTTCAACATCTTTAGCTGTACCGGTATAGATAAAGCTAAATAACTTTCTAGAATAGCTAAGACTTAGAAGCATAGACGCAGTCGTTGCTTTAAAACAGTGCCAACATACTCAGTGCTCACAAAGAATGTTAGGAACTATTCCTTTTAAAGGAATAACCTTTAAAAGATACAGGAAAGCAAGTCTTAATTATGTTTTCAATATGTTTGGAGCAGAAAATACATGCCCTTTCTCTGTATGGGTGAATATTGAATATCGTTTTTGTTTCTAAAACATATCCAAGTAAAAAAGCCTCATTTCTTGGAGGCTTCGCTTTGAGCAAAGCTGTTCTGTTACTGAGTTTTATTTTTACCTGTTGTTATGCAGCGTAGTGTTTTACTTTGTACTAGTCAGTGAACTGTTAAAGTGCATTACACTTATTTCAAAGAATATATATTTATTTACTTGCGTACTTGCTAATTTGCGATAGATCAGCCAACCATTGATATGAATTAGCATGACTCTACTATGTTGCAGCAAATCTTGGTTGCAATATTAATCTCAGATACTACATTCCCTCCCAGGTTGGTGCTTCAAATTCCCTCCCTACCCCCCCAAGTCTCCGTCCGTCATGCTCCGCACTGGCATTGGTAGGTCATTGTCTTAAAGGGAATATATTGGGAAAGCTGTGATACAATTTGTATGATTCAACTAAGATTTTTAGCTCTCTCCAATTAAATGTTTAAGGAAAGCTACGTGGAGTAAGTTAGTGCCATCTAGTGGGACCGGGACTGGCACATCCTCCTGGGATAGAAGGTATTCTGTTGCTGTTTATTGCATAAAAGGAAGAAATGTCATCTTAGATGCTCTCCGATTGGGCGAAGGCTGCAGGCAGTTGTAACTGAGCTTCCTGCCTTCCCGGGACTGGGTGTATCACTTAGTGTGTTTAGTTAGGTTTCTTTAATGTTTAAAAATAAAGGGTATGTTTTGGACCTACATAAAACTAATGCACCAGTTTATATATTTAATACAACTGCAGCTTTAAAGCCCACTTTCCCTCTGTGTTTGCAAGTAAAGAACAACTATATGTGTTTCTGAGAAATGAATGAGACTAAGCTGATCTAGTATAAATTTTTCGGCTGGAAACTAGAAAAAAGCTTCTGGCCGTCAGAGTCATGGGATTTTGGAAGAGCTTTCCAGTAACAGTAGTAGAG